GGAGGAACTTATATGTTGCTTTTGGAGGGCTGGGTCAGCAATGCTGCATGGTCAGGGTCTGTATAGATGGGCTTCTTGCTCACCATTACCTCCACAAACCTTCCATTCAGCACTGGCAGCAGCCTGATGCCTCAGAAGAAGAATCCTGACAGTCTGGAACTGATCCGCAGCAAAGCTGGACGAGTGTTTGGACGGGTGAGCCTGATAACAAAGGGAGTGGGTGGAGAAACTGCTTATACCAGGGATGAAGCATCTTCCTTCTTCTTCCCTCTGCATGAAAAGTTGTGCCCAGTCTGAGTTTTTAACCTGTGCTGGGGCAATGTGTTTTTCTCTGTAACTCACTGCCTCACCTATTACTTTCTGCAGTTGGCTGCTATTCTCATGGTCCTCAAAGGACTCCCCAGCACCTACAACAAGGATCTGCAGGTAAAACACCTGTTGGTTTTCACACCATCTCTCTGAGCAGACACAGCTGTCTTCTGGTGCCTTGAGCAGTCAGTAGAGTTGACTGTTCAGCCTGTTGGGTTTTGGGCTGCATCAGGTTGACTTACAGCCATTTCCATCCCCATTCTAATGCAGGAGGACAAGGAGGCTGTCTTTGATGTTATAGACACCCTGAATGCTGTGCTCCAGGTTGCCACTGGGGTGATTTCTACCCTCCAGGTAAGGTTTCAGCCTCTCACTATTGAACATGTGAGTAACACAGGTAACAGAACTCTAGAGTGGTCCCAAGATGAAAACTGTTGTGCCTCACCCATACTGCTCATTTTGGTCCTCTATGTCAGCTGCTCAGGAGATGAGAGCATCCCTTTAGAGCCAGGAACCTTCTGAAGGAGTTCCCCTCACTTTGACCACTAACATGTCCCCAAGGAGAAGCTGATGATAATGTCTCCCTCTGGCCCTCCTTCTGCAGATCAACAAGGAGAACATGCAGAGGGCCCTGAGCCCAGAGATGCTGGCTACTGACCTGGCTCTCTACTTGGTTCGTAAAGGAGTGAGTATCAGAAGGAAAACTAGAGCTGTGATTCCTTTGGATGCAGGGCACTGCTCAGTGAGGGCCTGAGACAAAGCCTTCTGGTCTGTCCCCTTCTCACTGCAGATGCCCTTCAGACA